AAAAAAAAAAAAAAAAAAAAAGGTATTAAGGCCATTGTGATTTCCTGAGGTTTGAAATGCAGTTGGTTTTCTTCTAATGTATTAGCACAAGTTATTCATTGCACGGAAGGAGTGATGGGGCTTGCGCAGAGGCCCCGCTAGCCACAGCGATCAGGAGCCAGCCACAGCCCGTGGGAATCGCCTCCTGCGTGTCGGCTCCTGCAGGACTTCTGGCTGCCACTGCAAGAAACATAAGTAGCCTCCGGACCACTCCACCCTGTAATTAAATACCCAGCCAAAAGTGGGGGGTGGAAAACAGACTAATAAACACGCACTCACTTAAAGCAGAGTTATCTAAAGCATTTTTCTGTGTGTGCATGTGTGGGGAGGAAAAAAAAAGTTTGTGTGATTTATTTCTGATAAAACAGATTTCTGGAAAGACAGGCAAAGTACCTTGCATCGCTCTTACATTGTTAAGTGGGTTTATCAGCCACATATCGATCCACTTGCTGAACTGTGTACACATGAGGGCTGTCATAAGAATTTTTCAGGTGTTACTTGCTACCAGTGTGATTTTTGGTGGTGCGGCCTTGTGTTTCAAATGGAGCCTGGGGTTTAGTGTTTTCTCAGCGTATGTGTTGTGCTTCTGATGGGGCTCTGGTTGTGTGCCAGGAGGTAAACACCTCGGTCTGGGGAATATGCTGCTTGCACTGAGCAGATCTGTGGAACTTGTTGCTGTTACCTTTATCACAGTGATTCTTTAAAAATGTTACAGTAAACATTTGTGATATGGGGACGTGTTTGCCAGTAAAAGCCTGTTTAGGGGGAAAGGGAGCTGGTTACTTTTGATTAACTTACATGCACTTGATTTATTTCACATATCTCGTTCTATCTATCTATCTATCAAAGAAAAATAACATAGATCAAAGGTTTGATCTATATATGGTCAGTTTTATATTCCTGAACAGGTTCAGCAGAACATGGTGAAGAAAAGGAGCGTAACTACTATGAAAAAACTTTTTCTCTGAAAAGAACAAAACAACATTAAGACTGCTAAACAGTTTGAATGGTTTCCTAATACTGCATTTCCATGAAAAATATTGTGTGTGYTCTGCAGGAATTGTAACTCCCTGATTCTGTTGTTGGGCTTGATGCTGTACAGTATTTAGAACAGGGATATTTTCCACCTCAGAAATGTGGTCATGTTACTGTAAGCAGGGCCTGGAAGGACAGTGTGGGAGACACCCTGCCGAATTCTGATAAAACTGTAAGGAAAAATTGACATCTTACCGCTGAACTGCATTGAATTACCGGTGCAGTGTTTAGGGGCAGTCGCTGACGGAGGTGGAACATGGAGCAGTGAGTGGGGATCACATCCACCTCACTTCGGTTTTACATTGAAGGAAAATGGTGCAGGGCAGGAGGCCGCGTGTCGTTACTGCCCTCAGCGCTGCGTGCCGGGCGATGCGTTTGTGGTGGCTTTGGGGCATTCCTTGCACTCCTGGGGCRCTCGGCGCTTCCAGCAGTTGTTGGGGTGGAGCAAGGTGATCCCCTTACATTTACTGCCCTCAATGTTCCCCTTACAGTGGTGATGATCAGTCCGGTTGGAGCTTCGTTCCCCCTCGTGGCCTGTGCCTTGCATTGATGCAGGCACCTCACAGAATCACAGAATCACAGAATCACAGAATATTTAAGGTTGGAAGGGACCTCTACAGATCATCTAGTCCAACCTTCCTGCTCAAGCAGGCACACCTAGAGCATGTGGCACAGGGTGGCATCCAGGTGGGTTTTGAAGACCTCCAGAGTAGGAGACTCCACAACCTCCCTGGGCAGCCTGTTCCACTGCTCTGTCACCCTAACAGTAAAGAAGTTGCTCCTCACCTGGAGACGGAACTTCTTGTGCTTCAGCTTGTGGCCATTACCCCTCGTCCTATCGCTGGCCACCAGTGAGAACAGCTTGTCCCCTTCCTCCCTGCATTCTCCCTTCCTGAACTTATACATATTAATCAGATCCCCCCTGAGCCTTCTCTTCTCCAGAGAAAACAGGCCCAGCTCACTCAGCCTCTCYTCATACGAGAGATGTTCCATTCCCTTAATCATCCTGGTTGCCCTTCTCTGGACCCTCTCCAGAAGCTCCACTTCCCTCCTATACTGGGGTGCCCAGAACTGCACACAGTACTCCAGGTGCGGCCTCACCAGAGCTGAGYAGAGGGGCAGAATCACCTCCCTTGACCTGCTGGCAACACTCCTCCTGATGCAGGCCAGGATCCCATTGGCCTTCTTGGCCACGAGGGCACACTACTCACTCATGGTTAACTTAGTGTCAACCAGGACTCCCAGGTCCCTCTCCGTGGAGGTGCTTTCCAGCAGGTCGACCCCTAATCTGTACTGCTGCCTGGGGTTATTCCTCCCCAGGTGCAGGACCCTGCACTTGTCCTTATTGAACCTCATGAGGTTCCTCTCTGCCCAACTCTCCAGCCTGTCCAGGTCCCTCTGGAYGGCAGCACAGCCCTCCGGTGTGTCAGCCACTCCACCCAGCTTGGT